TTATATGACCATGAAATGTATAACACAAAATTTGTCATTTTAAGAATTTTTTTTATGTGTACAATTCAGTGGCATTAAGTATATTCACAGTGTTGTACAATCACCAATACTATCTATTTCCAAAATTGTTATCAACTTATTTTTTTTTTTAACATTCATTTTTGAAAGGCAGAGAGAGACAGAGCGTGAATGGGGGAGGGGCAGAGAGAGGGAGACACAGAAACAGAAGCAGGCTCCAGGCTCCAGGCTGCAGGCTCCGAGCTATCAGCACAGAGCCCGATGTGGGGCTCCAACTCACGGACCATGAGATCATGACCTGAGCCAAAGCCAGCCACTTAACTGACTAAGCCACCCAGGCGCCCCCAAAATTGTTATCAACTTAAATGAAGGCTCTGTAGTCACTAAACACTCTAGGCAATCAACTCTCAATTCCTCCCTCCCCACATCCCCTGGTAACCTCTTATTTTCTTTCTCTATGAATTTGTCTAATCCAAATATTTCATATAAGCAGAATACAATATTTGTCCTTTGTGTAGGTTCAGTTCACTTTGCATAATTTTTTCAAGATTCATCCATGTAGTACCATATTATCAGAACTTTATTCCTTTTTATGGCTGAATAACATTCCATTGCATATATATACTACATTTTGTTCGTCAATTTATCTGTTGATGGACATGGGTTGTTTCCACCTAGTGGCTATTTTGAATAATGCTATAATGAACATTAGAATACAAGTATCTGTTCAAGTTCTTGCTATCACTGCCTTTGGGAGTGGAATTGCTGGGTCATGGTAAACTATGCTAAGCTTTTGAAGAATTGCCAAACTTTTTTCTTTAAATTTTTTTTTTTTCAACGTTTACTTATTTTTGGGACAGAGAGAGACAGAGCATGAACGGGGGAGGGGCAGAGAGAGAGGGAGACACAGAATCGGAAACAGGCTCCAGGCTCTGAGCCATCAGCCCAGAGCCCGACGCGGGGCTCGAACTCACGGACCGCGAGATCGTGACCTGGCTGAAGTCGGACGCTTAACCGACTGCGCCACCCAGGCGCCCCTCTTTAAATTTTTTTAAATATTTATTCATTTTTGAGAGACAAAGAGCGCAAGTGGAAGAAGGGCAGAGAGTGAGAGGGAGACACAGGCTCTGAGCTGTCAGCACAGAGCCAGACACGGGGCTCCAACCCACAAACTGTGAGATCATGACCTGAGCCCAAATCAAGAGTTGGACGTTTAACTCACTGAGCCACCCAGGCACCCCTGTTTTTCATTTTGGTGAAGTCTGATATATCTCTTTTTTTCTTTGGTTGCTTGTGCTTTTGGTGTCGCATCTAAGAATCCATTGCCAAATCCAAGGTCATTCCAGCTTTCTCTACACAGCATTAGCATGGTGTATGTTTTTCCATCCTTGTACCTTTAACCTATTGGTGGAGTTAAATTCAGTTTCTCATAGGCAGTATATGGTTGAGTCTTGCTTTTTTATCCCCTATGATACTCTGTTGCCTCTTAATTGGATTTTCAGATAAATTATATTTAATCTGATTATTGATACAAACCTTCCATCTTGCAATTTGTTTCCCATCTGTTTTTTGTTCCTTTCTCTATCTGAGTTCTTTTGGATTGAGTGATTTATGATAATTTATGATTCCATTCTATCTCCCTTGTTGAATTATTAGCTATAACTTTTTGTTTTATTAGTTTAGTAGTTGCTATAGGACTTAGAGTATACATCTTTCACTTATAGTGTTTGTTCAAGTGATATTACTTCACACAGAACGGAGGAAACTTCCAATAGTTTATTTCCATTTACTTCTCTTGGTCTTTGTGCAATTGTTGTCATATGATTTACATTCACATCCTAAACTACATTGTTTATATTTTTGTTTAAACAATAATTTATCTTTGGACAAGATTTAAATAATATAAAAAAAAGTCTTACATATTTACCCAGTAGTTATTATCTCTGATGCTCTTCATTCCTTGTGTAGATCCAGATTTTTATTTATTTTTAAAAAAAATTTTTTAAATGTGCATTTATTTTTGAGAGAGAGACAGAGTGTGAGCGGGAGAGGGACACAGAGAGAGACAGACAGACTCCAAAGCAGGATCCAGACTCCCAGCTATCAGCACAGAGCCTAAGGTGGGGCTCGAACCCCTGAGCTGCAAGATCATGACCTGAGCCAAAGTCTGATGCTTAACCAACTGAGCCATCCAGGTGCCCCCAGATTTTTGTTTTTAAATGTTTATTTATTTTTGAGAGCGAGTGAGTACAAGTGGGGGAAGGGCAGAAAGAGAGGGGGACAGAGGACCCGAGGCAGGCTCGACGCTGGCAGCAGAGAGCCCGATGCGGGGCTTGAATTCATAAACCGTGAGATCATGACCTGAGCCAAAGTCGGATGCTTAACCAACTGAACCACCCAGGCGTCCCTGGATCCAGATTTCTATTTGTTACTCAATTATACATGTAGGGACCCATGGGTAGCTCAGTTAAGCATCCAACTCTTGGTTTCAGCTCAGGTCATGGTTTCACGGTTCTTGGTTTCACAGTTAGGGGCTCATGGCTTCATGGTTCTGCACTGGTAGCATGGAGTCTGCTTGGGATTCTCTCTCTCTCTCCCTCTCTCTCTGCCCCTCCCTGCCCTATCAAAATAAGTAAACATTAAAACAAAATTACACATGTATTAAGCCTCTTGAGGTTACCCTTCTACTCACTTTCTATTTGCTATTTTTATCTTTATTTTTGTATTAATATATATTTTTTTACATTTATTTTTTAGAGACAGAGACAGAGCATGAGCAGGGTTGGGGCAGAGAGAGAAGGAGACACAGAATCTGAAGCAGGCTTTGGGCTCTGAGCAAGCTGTCAGCACAGAGCCTGATGCTGGGCTTGAACCCACACCCATGAGATCATGACCTGAGCCAAAGTCAGATGCTCAACTGACTGAGCCACCCAGGAGCCCCTCTATTTGCTATTTTTAAAAGTTTATTTTGTTTATGTCTATCCCAGCACCTCCAAGAGCATCTGGCACCCACTAGGTGCTTTCTAATTTGATACCACAAGGAAAAATTCCACACACCATCCACATCCACTAGTATAATCCTCAGGATCTGTCCACACACACTATTATATCACACTTCTACTCCACTTTACACCAGGCAGTCCTTTTCTATTATAGCACATTCTCACACACAACACAATCTCACACATGGTCACAGAAAAACAGCATGCCCGCCCCAACACCTAGGGTTTTACACGGACACACAATGACAGAATCAGAGGGTCGTGGCACCACTCACAAAATTAGCCAGGTTACAGAACTTGTTCAAATTTAAACACCATTCTAAGGGAGTATAGAGTCAGATTAAAGTGGTCAGAGTGGTGTGATCAGGGAAGGCATTTTTGGAGATGTGACATTTGTATCTGAATGGACAGAATAAGAGAACTTGGAAGACACCCGGTAGAAGAGCCATTTTAGGAAGGGAGGACACATTCACACCCATCATCACCAAATCACAAATACAAGAACGGTATGCAAGGGTGACACTTCATACCCCGACCCCTTCCCTCCGATCTTCGAGGTAACCATTTCCGAAGCTGAAACGCTCTAGGGAAGTCGGGACCTGCGCACTCTACTCCCTGCCCTACCTGTCCCACACACTTTTTCGGGTACCGCAGCACAACTGTAGGTGCTCGCCCCTCACTCCGTTTGTGTGGGCGCGCGCTCCCGAACCGCACCCCCTGCGGCTGCTCCGCGACTCTTAAGTTCTGCGCCTGGTTGCTAAGAGAGGTGCACGGAGCACTTGTGTCTGCGCACTTCAATCGTAGGCCATCTAGTTGACACTCTACCCCGTTCCCGTGGCGGACCCAGGCTCCGAAGTGAGATCTGGGCTCCCACTGTAGGGCCAGGAAGAAGTCAGCGTGGGAGGACCCAGGGCAGAGGGGCGGTGTTACGAATCCCCCAGCGGAGACGCGCCAGTGTAGTCGGACTCTGCAGCGCCGCTTTTTCTGGTCCGGACTACATTTCCCAGTGGCCCCTGCGATTACTGGGCCGGCGGCCCCTTTGTGTCCTCCGGAGGCCCAGTAGCTTCTTTCCGGGCCCGCGGGGGTGGGTTCCATCAGACTCTTAGGGCAGGAGGTGGGCCGGGGTAGAGATTGCCTGAGCATTCAGGGCGGAGACGGGATCTTCCCGCAGTTACTTCTGCAGGTAGGGAATGGGCTGAGGAATGGCTTGTGGGTCACCCGGTCGTCGGTTTCCGGGCCCTCGGCGTGACTCTAGGTGCGAGATCGTGGTTGGTTGTCATACAGTGTGAGACTGTCATCCGATGTGCCTGTGCACGTCGTATCTGTGACTGTGGGTGCGAGTGAGTCGATAGTTGATGCTACAGAGTGAGACTGTGGGGGGGGGGGGGGAGGGTATTGTGTCCCCAGTTTGTTCCAGTACCCTCGGCCTCTTTGTGACTGGGTTGTGAGTGTGAACGTCGGTTGCGATACTCTACTGTTTGAGACTTCAAGCTTTGGGAGAGCGTGACGGTCGTGGCCGCTGACTGTTCTGTGTCAGCAGACGGTGGTTGGCGCTATAGTTTTAAAGAATGAGTATGTGGGGGGACTGATTGAGACTATGAAGCCAGCCAGGTGATGCCGGTGTGCCACCAAGTTTCAGAACCACTGGTCTGTTGGAGAGGAGAGAGAGTGTGGAGTCAAGAAGACCTTTATTTGATCTTGGTACAGTTAGTCATTAGTTGTGTGCCTTTATGTAAATGATTACATTCCTCAGAGTCTTTATTTGTAAAAATCGAGAAAATCTGTTAAAATAATAAGGAAGTGATTTAGGCATGGGTTAACTTGTATGCAAACAAATTTCTAGGTCTCCAGTATGCTTTCTTTCTATTGGAAGGAAGGGTGTAACAGAGGAAAGAGAAGCCGAAAAATTCTAGGCTGGTGATTCCGGATGCTATAGGGAAACGCTACCTTTTCTTGTTCTTTTCCCCATCTCAGTCATCCAAGGACACTGCCATTTCCCAAGAGAAGAGCCAAGAAGAGGAAAGAATGGCTGTTGGACTTCTTAAAGCCATGTACCAGGTGAGTTGGTGTTTTCTATTTCCTGAATGATTTTCCTGCTCTTCAGATGTCAAAGCAGACATTAACTTTGCTTATGCTGACACTTTACTGGGTAACTAATCTCATGTCACTTATTAAAACTCTCCAGCAGTTGATTCCCACCTCATTCAGGATACATGCTGAAGTCCTTGCCTTGGCCTGCAAGACCATACATAATCTGGTCCCTGACTATCCTTCTGACCTCATTTTGTCACTCTGCAACTCACCTACTCAGTTCTAGCCACACTAGCTAGCTTCCTTGTAGTGAACGGAGTACATTCTTTTTTTTTTTTTTTTTTTGCTGAGTACGTTCTTAACTCATGACCTTGGCACTTGCTGTTTCCTCTGCCTGGAATGCTGTTCCCCAAGATACAGACCAACTTCTTCATTAGTCTCTGTCCAAACATTCATTCACTCAACATTTTTTTATTAAGCACCTATTAAGTAAAAGGTCTTAGTCTTTGGTCCTCTATCTTCTTTTCTGTATCTACACTCACTCCTTTGGAGATCTCAGTCTGTTTTATGGCTTTAAATGCCATCTATATGCTGACAACCACCAAATTATATACAGCCCAGTCCTCTCTCCTGAAATCCAGACTTCTATATCCAACCAACTAGACTTAGTATCTTCACTTGGTTATATAGCAGATATGTCAAACTCAAACGTCTCAAACTTGGTGAAACAAGCCACTGTAAGTTTGCGGGCATAGAAGTGACATATCTAACTCTCATTTAGTAAAATCACTCTGGCTACTATTGAGAATTAACCGAATGGAACAAGGATAGAAACAGGGAAACCAATTAGGAAACTCTCACATACTTCCTTATCTCAGATGCTCAACTTAAAAGTCTTCCAGTCGTGAAGTTCTGTTTGTTCTATGTTCAAAATGTATCCAGAGGTTGACGACTTTTACTACCACTGCTGCTTCCATTCTGGTCTGAACTGTCATCTCCTACCTAGATTACTGCTATAGTCTTCTAACTTTTCTGTCTGCTTCCACCCTTCTTTTAGTCTATTCTCAACAAAGCAGTCAAAGTGATTCTGTTACACATGTTCCATTATGTGATTCTTGCAGGAATAGAAATAATGGAAAATATAGACAACTCTTTCAAATAATTTAGCTGTAAGGATGTAAGAGAGATGGGTGGTATCTGAAGGATAAACTGGTCAACAAGGTTTTTAATTTGAACTGTAATTTTTAATGTTTATTTGAGAGAGAGAGAGTGTACATGTGCAAGTGAGTTGGGGAGGGGTTAAGAGAGAAGAGAGAGAGAATCCCAAACGGACTTCATGTTCAGCATGGAGCGCAGTGTGGGCTTTATCCCATGACCATGGGATCACGACCTGAGCTAAAACCAAGAGTTGGTTACTCAACCAATTGAGCCACCCAGGTGCCCCAACAACAAGGTTTTTTTAAGATGGGTTTATATCTGTATGCTGATGTTCAAGATTCAGTAGAAAGGGAAATTTGAAGATGAAGAGAAGCAAAGAGGGGAGTGATGGAACACTGCTTGAGTAGGTGAGAGGAACTGAGGTCTAGTGGACAAGTGGAAGGGTTGGCCTTTATTAGGAGAGTGGCTGTTCATATAGAGTAGTAATAGGAGCAAGTTAGAGTATGTAGGACAGATGCAGAAATATGTGTAGATGTTGTAGGAATTTCTGGAAATTCTCTTTGAATGGCTTTCGGTTTTTCTAGTGAAACAGCAAGATCACTAGTAAGGATGAGGAAGGAGATATTGAAGACTTGAGGAGAGAGGAACACATATGTAATGGTCATTTAGGAGAGTGGGGAAATGAATGGACTAGAGAAATGTATCATATAGGTAGCATTTTGGTCCACTTGATGTTAGTGTCATGAATTTAAAGTGAGACCAAATAGCATGATTGGTGTGACTTTCTCCAGCAAAGTTCAGCTGTTCAGGGTACAGAAGTAGAGTATTCTGAGAGATGGCTGTGGTTTAACCAGGTGACTAAGGGCAGGGAAACTGAGGGTATATCCATAACAAATGGTTGTGGCAGGAAGTGAGGGAATGTGGGGTTGAGAAACATTGAAAATGCGGTAAGTAGAACGTGATTTGTAGGTTCTAGTGGGGTCAGAGAATTTTCCTAATTGGGGTACTAGAGGGCAAAAGTTGGAATATAGGAGGAAGAAGTCAGGGTAGGAAAGTTGAGATTATGGAGGGTTTGCTACTTATGGGTAATGACAAAGTCTGGGGCATGGCAATAGAAGTGAATGACTATACAAGTGTGGAAGACAAGACTACTGGAGGAGAGAAGCGACACAGCTGAGAGCCCTGGATGTTGGGAGGATTATTTATATAGATATTGAAATGACCAAAGATTATATATGATAGGAGTAGTGCTGGAGAGAGTGACAGTGAGTCAGGCGCTGAGGTGGTAAAGGAATGACAGACTATTGGTATCTACCAGGAATTGGTAGGTAACTAAAACAGGGATGATAGAGTCTGATTTCATGAATGTTTAAAACTAGGTGGCTTTTAGGTAGGTGGGAGGGGTAATGGTCTAGAAACAAATTTAAGGAGCAAAGAGGTCTCCGGGTGCTGTGGTACAAGGAGTGTGGGAGATAAAACAGTCACCACATGACAGGGCTTCAGGGGAAGTAGTAGGTCCTCTCAGGTGGGAGCCATGTTTCTATGAAGGCAAAAAGGTGAAGGGAACTGTTGACTTTCTTCATACTGACTTGATTATAATTATGAATGGATTTTGAAACCACACGTATTTGGTTAGAGGTTAAATTTATTTATTTTCATTTATTTATTTTTTTAAATTGCAGTGTAGTTAACTTCCAGTGCTTAGTTTCAGGTGTACAATATAGTGATCCAACAGTTCCGCACATTACTCAGTGCTCATCAAGACAAGTGCACTCCTAATCCCCTTCATCTATTTCACCTACCTCCCACACCTTTCCCCTGGTAACCATCTTTTTGTTTTCTATATTTAAGAATCTGTTTTTCCTTAAGAGACTCTTAAATACAGAGAACAAACTGAGGGTTGCTGGAGGGGTGTTGGGTGGAGGGACAGGCTAAATGGGTGATGGGCATTAAGGAAGGCATTTGTTGGGATGAGCACTGAGTGTTATATGTAGGTGATAAATCACTGAATTTTACTCCTGAAATCATTATTATACTATATGTTAACTAACTTGGATTAAAATAAAACAAAATAAAATAAAATGTTTTCTGGTTTGTCTTTTTCCCTTTGTTCATTTGCTTTGTTTCTTAAATTTCACATATGAGTGAAATCATATGGTATTTGTCTTTCTCTGACTGGCTTATTTTGCTTAGTATTATACTCTCTAGATCAATCATGTTGCTGCAAATGGCAAGATTTCATTCCATTTTATGGCTGAATAATATTCCATTGTATATATAGAGGTCAAATATTTTAAGAGATCATTTGTTAGAGGTCAAATATTTGAAAGTAATACTTTAAGCTCATTATATTGACATTGTCATTATTTTCATTAAATTTCATCAAAATAATCATTGAGGGGTACCTCCTGGGTATCTCAGTTGGTTGAGCGTCTATTAATTTCGGCTCAGGTCATGATCCCAGGGTTGTGGGATCAAGCCGTGTTGGGCTCCATGCTGACTGTGGAGCCTGCTTAAGTTTCTCTCCCTCTCTCTCTCTCTCTCCCTCTCCCCACCTCCCTCCCTCCCTCTCTCTCCCACCTCTCTCCAAAATAAAAAAATAATAAAAAACAGGATCCTTGAAAACATGTATGTCATATATTAAAAATAGTTATACATTTATTATATATATTTATATAAGGTAAGGAAAATGTTTTTGGAAGCATGTATGTAACATATGAGGGATGTTATTGTTGGTAGAGCAGAGATGAAGAAACTCACAATCTACTTCATATAATTAAATAAGAAAAAACTTATTGAGTGTTGTAAAATACTTCAATAATTTTTATTCTGTAGAGACAGTTTAACTATGACAAAATTTTATCAAATGCCCAATAAATATTTTCTTGCCTTGACAGATTCCCCTCTTTTAATTTTGTAATATATAGTTACCTATATATAAATGTATGCATACATGCACACAAACACATATGTTAGTTTTCATCAGCAGGTGGTCACATTATAGACATCTAGAAATCCAGAATCCAGCTTAATCACAGCATAGCCCAAGTTTTTAAGAACTTTGCCCAGGCCCTGTAGGTAGAACCAGTATTATAAGCAGAACACCCATTTCTTTGCACAAAATTTTAAGTACTCTGGATTAAAGTATTTGAATTAAAATTTTTCTTTAATTTTATTTTTTTAAATTTATATCCAAATTAGTTAGCATATAGTGCAACAATGATTTCAGGAGTAGATTCCTTAATGCCCCTGACCCATTTAATCCATCCCCCCTCCCACAACCCCTCCAATAACTCTCTGTTTGTTCTCCATATTTAAGAGTCTCTTATGTTTTGTCCCCCTCCCTGTTTTTATATAATTTTTGCTTCCCTTCCATTATGTTCATCTGTTTTGTATCTTAAAGTCTTTATATGAGTGAAGTCATATATTTGTCTTTCTCTGACTGTCTAATTTCACTTAGCATAATACCCTCTAGTCCCATCCACATAGTTGCACATGGCAAGATTTCATTCTTTTTGATTGCCGAGTAATACTCCATTGTATATATATACCACATCTTCTTTATCCATTCATCCATCAATGAACATTTGGCCTCTTTCCATACTTTGGCTATTGTCGTTAGTGCTACTATAAACATTGGGGTGCATGTGCCCCTTTGAAACAGCATACCTGTATCCCTTGGATAAATACCTAGTAGAGCAATTTTAGGGTAGTTCTATTTTTAATTTTTTGAGGAACCTCCATACTGTTTTCCAGAGTGGCTGCACCAG